TCAGTCCTGTGGGGGCAGAGGCCACGCTCAACCCATTTGACAGACAAGGAAACTGAAGCTCTGGAAAGGAAAGTGTCATACCCTAGACTCCCTTCACCGTTCACAGACCATGTCAGCAGACCACAAAGGAGAAGGCAGGTCCCTGCTCCCCCAGATGCTTTTTCAGCACCACCCACACTTCCTCCTCCTACCCCAAACCCTTACTCTCTCTGCCTCAAAGGGAACTTCACCCTTTCTGCTCAAGGCCCAGGGACACCTGCCTGGCCCACAGGACCTCACACAGCACTCAGGCCCAGCTCCTTGAATCCTGAGGACCAGATAAGGCCTCTGGGCTCATATCCTCGACTCCTATGAGTGTCTGACCATGACCTCAATTGGCATGGGCCGAGAAGCAGGGGCTGGGAGCTGCAGCACCTGTCCAAGGCCACACGGGGCTGCTCAGTGGCAGAGGCACAGAGCCAGGTGGTGGAGTCCAACAGACCTTGAGGCGAGTCCCAGCTCTGCCACTCTCTAGCTGTGGGGCCTTGGGCATGTGACCTCACCTCTCTGAGCCTCAGTTTCCCCATCTGAAAAACACAAACAAGAGGTCCCTGCTACACAGTGGGGTCATGAGGATTAAATGTGTCAATTTGTGAAAGGCTTCACCCAGGGCCGGTAACGCGGAAAGCACTCAGAAACAGGAACTGTGGTTTCAACACCCACCTCTAATCCCACAGCCCCTGCCCAGGGCTTGCCCTCTCTGGCCTGGGCCCCTGGGCCAACCCCTTTCCTCATCTCCTTCTTCAATCCTGGCTACATCTTCTCCTACCCTGCCCTCCAGTCACAAAGGAAGTGCTCACTCACAGAATGACCTGCCCACCTCCTCTGCCAAGAATACCCGCCTCGCCCGCCATGTCCTGCTCGGGCAAATCCTCTCTCAGGTCACTTTTCTCCTCAGCACAGATCGCTACTAGACCCGCGGCATGAACTGTCTGCCTACCCGCCTAGAACCCATCTCACAGCACGGGGTCGGGGAGACAGACCAGGGAGGAGTCATGTGTCTCGTTCCTTCATTCGACAGCTATTGAATGAGTGCCAGGAATGTGGGGGTGACACGAGCAACTTACCACAAGCGGGACTGGAAGACATATAAGCCCCAGATAGGGAGCGCTCCCCGTGGGCCTGCTCCTACCCAAATCCTTTCTCTATTTCAGGCCCCGAGTCCTCAGAGCACCTTAATTCTCCCCGTTTATAGAGGAGGAAATCCTTCGAAGACCACAGTTCAACCTCAGTCTGGAACAGAAGAGGACGGCGCATGGGGAGGAGACAAGGAGGCTCCACCAGGGCAAAGGAGATGCTGCGTTATCTGAACCGCAGCTCCACCTCTGGCCCTGAGTCACAACCTCACGCACAATCTCTCCTTGACTCCTCACCAAAATGACAGTAACAACAGGTGACACCTCTATGGTACTTACTGCAAGCTGGCACACACTTCACACCTGCTGACCCTTTTGATCCCTGCAACTCTGGGAGGCGGTGCTATTACCACTTTTTTGCAGATGGAAAAACTGAGGCACAGGGAGTGAGTCACCTGCCCAAGGCCACTAAAGCAGGAAGTGGCAGAGCTGGAATTCCAACCAAGGTGCCTGGCTCTCGGAGCCCGAGCTCTTAACTACCCTTATCCTGTTTGCCGCCTCTTACAAGCAGGCACAGAAATCCATAATTAAAAGACATCCTGATGGTGAGGAGAGAAAATTATAGAGCAAGGAGTAATTTAGATTGAAACGATCAGAGAGGACCTCTCCAGGAAATGACACTGGAAGTGAAATGTGGAGGAGGACAGGTAGGTTGAGACAGGAAAACAGGGGAGACAAGAGCAGCATCCCCGGGAGAGAGGACATCGCATTCAAGTCCAGAGGCGGAAAACAATCTTAGGGCCTTCACAAGCCGGGGGCTAGTATGGTTGGATCCCGATGGAGGAGAAGGGCACGAGGGGACAAGTGGAGGGGCAGGGCTGGGGCAGGGCTGGGACCGTGCCCCGGCAGGCTGGCGCAGGGAGTCTGGGACCTCCCGAAGTAACCGCACATCTCCGCACATCAGGGGCCTCTGTCGTGAGACACTCACCCCAGCGCCTGCTCTCATGGGCCCACTGTGAGGATCATATGGCTGGAAGCGGGTAAAGAGCTGCGGCCAGCTACAGCCATGCCACTCTGAACACGCTCAGAAGCTAAGCAGGGTCGGTCTTGGTTAGTACTTGGATGAGAAACCAAGTGCTGTAGATGTAAAAAAAATAAATAAAATAAAAAATAAAAAGATCTGAGGCCAGGGCCTGGCACATATGAGTTCGCCAAGTGCAGCAGAGAGCTCGGGAACCGGGCCAGGGCAGCAGTCGGGGAAGGCTGATGGCGGCTGGCCCAGGATAGAAGCAGTAGACATGGAGAGAAGTGGATGGCCTGGCCCACGTGTGACAGTGACGAGTGAGGCAGGAAGAGCACCCAGCACCCGTATGACCCGAGCTGTGGGCTTACCCAGTTGTTTCCTGTGGCCAGGAATACCAAGCATTTGTCAACAGTTCCTCTCCACTTGGGCAGCTGTAGGGAAGTGCTCCCTGCCCCCAGGGCAGAGGGTGGGGCTGTCTTCCTAGAGAGACTAATGTTCCTGCTTCCTGCACTCACGTGAGCCCCAGCACACTACTGTCCCCCAAACCCATACATTATCAGTCTCTCTGGGGCAGAATGGGACACAGAGGAAAACAAGAGGGACTTTCCAGTGGGGGACCAGGGAGGGTATGAGAGACTAGCCCCAGGTCAGGTGAACAGGTAAGCTGCTTCTCACTCAAGTCTTCTCTCTGGGAGTTCTTAGCAGGAAGGCTGGGGACAAAGAGGACCTATGCTTCCCAGGCACGTGGTGGAGAGAGGCAGCCAGTGTGCTCCGAAGGACGGACCCCTGGCCCTTGGCTGTGATGCCAGAGCCAGCGCCAGCACCGCTCTCCTCTGGACAACAGTAGGCGCCCTCCCCTCCTCCAGTCTCTTCCCCAAGACACAGCAGCCAGAGTCAGGGCGTCACAGATCTCCAACCTCTACTGAACTAATAATGGATCAAGGCAACGAGAAGCTGCCACCTACGTCAAAGAAAAATAAGAACACAATACCACTTAGGAAGTGAGCTTGAAAAAACAAAACATCAAACCAGAATCTGATCAAGCCTCTCTAGTCCCAACTACCAATTTTCAGGAAATACAGACAACAGGAATAATTGAATCAACTCTACCTCAAAATGCGAGTGGCAAAATCCAGTCTTTGGGAAAGGCTATGAGACAACCACTTTCAACAAATACAATGCAAGCGGGGAGGCGGGGGAGAGAAAACAGAGACAGCTGGAGAATCCAACAGATTAGCAGAGTCTGAGAAGAACGAATACTTATGAGACAACTGGAAATCTGAGCGCTCATCAGATGTTTGATAAGAAATTATTGTTAATTTTTTTTAAAGAATTTTTATCTTTTAGATGTACATAGTGGAAAAACCTACAGATGAAATAACAGGACACCTGGAACGGACTCCCAAACAAATATGGCTGATGAAACAAGACCAGCCACAGGTTGACAACAGCTAAAGCTGGGTGACAGGGAGCCCGGGTTCATTATCCCAGTCTGTTTCTGTACCTTATCCATAGAAAGCACCGGGGAAAAAGAAAGCTCAACCTGTCATTCAAATCCTCCATCTGCTGTCCATCATTTAAAGAAGGCTCTTCCAAAGGGTCTTCCTAGACCATCCTATTTGGAAAACACATATAAAACTGCGTTTTCCATCTCTCTCTACCCCCTTGCCCTGCTTCGTTTTTCCTCTCAGCTGACATCCGATATCTCTGTCTCTTGGCTTTCTCCTCCCACCAGAACTCAAGCTCCAAGAGAGTAAGGGTCTCATCCCTGCCGTGCCTAGTACATAGTAAGCGCTCTATAAAAATATAAGGAATTGCACAATGAACAAACTAGAGTTTCAGCCCAGCCCCACCCCTGCCACTCTGCACAATGGGAGTCATCACCCCTACACCTCAATGCTACCTTAAGAATTCAAGGTCAGGTAGTAGCTAGCATACCCAGCTCACTCAGAGGTCCTGTATCCAAGCCCAGGATCCCACCCCAACTCCCATGCTTCCTTTCCTCACACTCTTGGGCCTTCAGGAGTTTAACTCTGGTTCTATCTCTCACTTAAGGTTCTACCCTTCACTGTCACAAGTAAAGAGGGGGCCAGAATGGCAAGGTCCTTCTTCATTCAGGTCTAAAGGGGGCCTCCCCTTCTACCCCTGGGACTGGGGCCCTAAAAATAAGCCAGCTCTACTTTCAGAGGGGAAAACGAGGACCCTACTGGGGAGCCTCACTCCAGCCCCACCCCACCAGCCTGTGAGTCAGCAGTCAGACCTGCTCGCCCATCCCCCCATCAAGAACCAGCCACACCCCATGAAGGATCTCCCTGCCCTCAATGGAAAGACCTGATGCCTCTACCAGCAAAACTCCTCCCCAGCCTCAGCCTGGCTGGCTCCCTCTGGAGGCAGTGACTCAGGGGCGCTCAGCCAGCCTGGTGGCTCTGGTAATTGCTCTGACTAGGGGGAAGAGTCAGCACCAGGCAGCCACCCACTCAGGCCAGGGCTGTCTGAGGACACAAGCTGGCTATATTGGTCTGTTCCTCCTGACCTGCCCAGCAAAGGTATCAGCAGCCTCATCTGTGAAGTGGATTCGGTGCCTAGGATCTGAAGGGCGAGGCCTGGCAAGGGGAGGCGGCCAGCACTGGTGCTCTGCGGACTGGAGGAAGCTCCGCAGATGGCAGAAACACCCTGAGCAGATGTCTTGGTCTTCTGGGGAATGCAGAGCTGCTGCAACCTCAGACCTTCCCACCCTGGCCTGAGGATCTCACCACAGGATCCCATGTCCACAGGCTCCCCTGACTCAAGAGGGGGTACCAGAGAGGTGGGCAGGGCAGAGTGTGTGAGAGACAGCATGTCCACCCAGGCCTGTGTCCTCACCTCAAGACCAGGTGGAAATTCTCAAGGACAAGGTCTGATCATGAGTCCCCCCAACCCACCCAACCCCACCTGTCTACAAGTCCAGTCAGCCCGACGCCCATATTTCCTTATTCCACACGCTTCTTGCCTTCTCCAATGTGACCACCCAGGCCAGACTTCTCCTCACTGAACTGTGCAACCTTGTCACCACACGCACCCATAAGAGCGTGTGGCACGCGCCCGGAGCTATTTCAAGTACTTTACGAATCCTAACTCATTTATTAACTAGTTTTCCAAATGGATCAGAGTTTTTTTGTTTTGTTTTGTTTTTAAGGTGAGGCAACCCTTGGTTGACCTCACAGATTGCAAGGACCTTGTCAGCTTATAATCTTTTATTTTTTTATTTATTTCACCTACAGCACCTGGTCTTCTTAGGTGGTCCCCCATCCAAGTATTAACCAAGCCCGACCTTGCTTAGCTTCCGAGATAAGACGGGATCGGGTTGTTCAGGGTGGCATGGCCGTAGACCAGAGTTCCTTTAAAAACTGGTATAAGATCACCTCAACTCCTGCTCAAAACCCCTGAGAGCACTTAATTCGTGGAATAAAATCCGAACTCCCACCCGAGGCGGCCTGGCTCCTCCGTCCGATGCCCCGCCTCTTCGTGGTGCTTACTGTTGAAAGTAAGTTTCAGCTTTACTGGTCTGTCACTCTACTAGAAAGACAGTCACCTCCACAAGGGCAGGGACCTCACTACTATTCCCACCCTAAGCACATGGCACAGTCACAGGGAGAAAATTGGTATGCAGCAAGGGGCCAGGCAGATGTTGTTTTGAGTGAGTTACAGGTGTTAACAACTCTGATTGGAAGGTAACATTATCAGCCGCATTTTACAGATGTGGTAACTGAGGCACAGAGGGATTCAGTCACCTGCCCAAGATCAAATGGACTATTTAGGTGCCGAGGCCAAGAGGTAAATAAGACAGCCTGTTCCCAGGTCCGGTTTTCACCCCTGTATTACTTCACCCCTGCATTAGAAATGATTGTTAAATAAATACACCCCTGCAAATGCTGTCTGAATAAACGAATGAAATTAGGGCCAAGGGGTTGTCAGGAAAGGCTTCCTGAAAGAAGCAGTATACGACGTGGTCCTTCAACTACCAGCAGGAGTTAAATAAGTAAGATGGCAACAGAAAGGACAAAGATTCCACTGTGTTAAACAGAGGAACAGGAGCCACTGCCCATCTACAAGGTGTTGACAGGAATGACACACACCATTCCTCCCGTCCTGGCTCTGCAGCCTGCCATGGGCACTGCACGTGCATTCCCCAAGGCCCACAGACACCTACCACAGGTCACTTTGCCTTCCGAGGCAGGTCTAGTCGGCTCCTGCTGCTGCTGGGGGGCAGCTGGGCCCCCTCTCCGACGCCGTCTGGCACCTCCACTGGGCCGGCCCCGACTCCGCCGCTGCCGCTTGGTTGGGGGAGAGCCTAAGGAGGGAAAGATGGGGTGGCTGAGGACCAGGACGATAGGTAGAGCACCATGGCAGGTGCCTGAAAAAGACCTTGAGGCTGGTCTCCGTGCCATGAGACCCTGGGTGAGCACCTGTTTCCTGGGCCCTGTCCATAAGATGAGAAGTAAGTACAACCTGGCATCATCCAGAAGGGCCGATGAACACGCCCCCTGACCCAGCAATCCCAGTCCCAGGTGTCACCTTAGAGAAACCCCTGCACACTCCCACCGGGAGACCAGCAATGGCAACAGCCAATGGGACATTGTTTACAGTTATTAACTGTATACTTGAAAATAATGTAAATGTCTGGCAAAAAGAATACAGAGTAACTTCCAGGAGAGATCGCTTAGTGAGGTAAAGCAAGGTTCAAAAGAAATGTCTATAGTTTGCTACACTTTGCATTTAAAAAAGATGAGGACACAAATATATATGTATACATATATATGTATATTTACTATTTTTGCAAGATGAAACACTGTACAGATAAATTAAGAATAAAATTGATTACCTAATTACAGTGAAAATAAGCCATACTTCTAAGAACATCTTTTTTTTTTACATACTTTAGTTTTAACACGTTCAAAAAAATTTTTTAAGACAAAGAAACCATAAAATTAAACACAAAGAGAAACATATGAACCTAACTGTATATATAACTGGTAACACAAAAAGAAAAGGAAAAAATTATTTCAAATTACTTGGAAGATCATTCTGACTGGAAGCTCTCAGTGGGATGCACTCAGAGGACAAAAAGAACCACACAGGGCACAGTCAGCGGTGATACTGATGTAATTTTGAAGCTATGTTTTATTGTTGTAAAACAAAGCAAACAAATCCTTACCTCAAGGTTATTAAGAACCGAGGTGTTCAGTATAAGACAAAAAATTTCTTGTATGTTAATTTTGAATTAAAAACACTAATCCGAAATTTTTTTAAATTAAAATATATTGAGATGACATTGGTTAGTAAGATTATACAAGTTTCAAGTACACAATTCTGTAATACGTCCTATATACACTGCATCATGTGTTCGCCACTAATATGAACTTTTCCTTAAGCACGGTTTCTAACTCTGTTCACTGAACGAGCCTAGGAGCAATGCACACACTCGGCAGCCAGACCTTGGTCTCCAAATACCACTGCCTCTAAAAGAAACCAAGCTTCTGAAAACAGCCGATTCCGAGGCTGGGGAAGGGAACATACAAGTGAGCCTAGGACATCTAACAGAGCCACAAAGCAGGAAGCACCCAATGAATGATGGAGACATGTCAAGAAGACAGGAGCTAGACAATCTGAACATCAGGAAGAATGACTAATTGATTATAACACAATACATAAGAATGCATGAGTCCCATAGTGGTGCTCCCCACAAAAAAGAGGGGGAGGGGAGAAAAAAAACTCCTCTTGAAAGAATGCCAGCTAACAGATGTAAATAAAGAATGAGAAAATCACCATTTTTCAAACACCAGTGTAATAACTGGTGCAGACAGGGATCATCGATGGATGCCACTGGGGAACAGGATGTGTCAATGTATCATCCCACAGTTAACCATAAAAAGAAAAAAATGTCCCTTTATAAAAAATGAATATGGCAGATACCACCTTAACCAAGTGATCAGCCCTGCCCACCTGCAACAGAAAAAGCAGAGCTTCTGCCTGCTGACATGCTCCAGCGCGAAGCGCACAGCATCAACCAAGGTGTGCTCCTGCCAAAAACATGGAACCTGAATGGAACCAACCCTCAGACCCAATTCCCCTTTCGCAAGAAGTGTAGGGGGCAGAGGAGTAGGTTAAATGACACGATCAGGAAATTATTGCACACTTCCGGAAACAATCAGGACACTCTGCAAAACGAATGGCCTAGTAAAGTCATTGTCGGGGGGGCAAAAGGTATGGAGTCGGGGAGGGGTTTCAGTTCTACAGTAAAAGAGACGACGTAACAACTGAATTTATAACAACTATGAGTGGATCCTGAAAATGGAGACAATCTTAAAGAGATATGAAAATGGACCATTAGGATATCAGAGAATTAGTATTTACTTTCCTAGGTATGATAAGAGTCTTGAAGTGAGAGAGAAGAATCTCCTTACTCTCAGGAAAGGCCTGCTGATTTAGGGGTAAAGTGTCCTGATGCCTGTAATTTACTTTTAAAGAGTTCAACAACAACAACAACAGCAAAAAGCAGAATTATGCATACACTCATGTAAAGCAAAAGTGGCGAATGCTAAAATTACTGAATCTAGGTGGAAGATATAAGCATGTTCACTATACTAATCATTCAACTTCTCTGTATATTTGAAATTATGTTTGAATAATTAAAAAAACTAGAGGGGGGAGAGACTGGATAAATAAATTAAGTGGCACAGCAATTAAAAGATACCAATTAGAGTTACTCAACATGAATAAACCTCAGAAACACGTCCAGCAAAGACAGCCAGGTAAAGAATGATGAACTCATGATGTAATGCCATTTAGGTGAAATACAAAACTATTTTATATTTTCCGTATGTTGCTTCTGGACTCAAGCTTTTGTAGCAACAGTAAACAAATACACAAAGCAAAAATGAGAGAATGACGCCTTGGGCCCCTTCCTTGAGGGGCCAAGATAGGGGAGGTTCATCAGGGTTCAGAAGAAAGAGAGAGACATGGCCGTCACATCTACCCAGCTGGGCTCACCTGTCTCCCACTGGCCTTGCTGAGCATCTGAAGAACTGCTTGACCGCCGACGGCGACGGCAGCGGCTCTCTGTCCTCTTTGAAGAGCTAGAGGTGCCATAGTTGTAGCGTTCTGGAGACACTGGAGGGGAGAAGAATAGAAAGAAGTAATCACAGTCTCCAGCCCCTCCCAGGCCCAGCCTCCAATTCCCAGCCCCTGAGATGAACATCTGTCCCAGGGTACCTGACCTCCCCAAAGGTCAGGGTCCAGACACCTACCCTGCTCCAACACCTCCTGCCCAGTGATTTCTCGATGCTTCCCGACATAGAAAACTCATCACCTCCTGGGGCCACCCAACCCATGTCTACAACAGCTCCAACTGTCAGGGTTATTCTGTAAACTGAGTCCTGGTCAGGATCCCTGCAGTGTTGCCCCCCATCAACTGCCTCCAGCTCTCCCTGAGGCCCCAAGGAGTAAGCAGGCCTCTCTGTGGGCTCCCCAAATCTTCTCTTCCAGAGTCTGACCTCCAGACATATCTTTCCAAAAGTGCTGTCACTTCTTCCCTAGTACTGCCCTTCTCTTGGTTATCCAAGTCCCATGGGCTTACTCTGGGCAGGGGAGCCTCACAATCCCCCTTCCCAAACTAGCCACTGCACCTTCAGTAACCCAGCCAAAAGCTCAACAGCTCAAGGCCTATGCACATGTGGGGCTCCTGTGCCTTAAACCCTCCCAGCTCCTGGCCTTCTCAGTACTATTGTTCTTCCCTCACAAGGATTAAATGCCTCGACTCTGGACACAAGCCAGAGGATCTGAATCCTAGCTCCCACTTTCTTGCTGTGTTATCTGCAAGCCCCTGTGATGTGGCTTCTCACCTACCTCTCTGGCCTTGCTTTGGTTCCCTCTGCCCCTGCCACACTGGCCTCTGATGATGACAGACTCATTCCTGCCTCAGGGTTTGAGAGCTTGCCTTTCCCTCTCCCTGGAATTTTCTCCTCTGAGATCTATGCACAGTGGCAGCAGTGCAGCCTCAATTCAAAAGTCACCTTCTCAGAATGCTCTTGACTGGTTACTCAATCTAAGGGGGCATCCCTTCACTTAGAGGAACTCCCTATTCTTTATATCCGAATTCTTTGTTTTAGTCTTTCTATAATCATATGTAAAAAGAAATTGTTTATCTGTTTTAATGTTTGATTCCTCCCTCATGGAACAAACACTCTGTCAGTCCCATCACCTTGTATCTCCTGTACCCGGCACACAGGATTCAGTTCTCACACGTGGGCAAAAGCTGCTTTACTCCTCTGAATCTGATGTTTTCCCTGTACAGTGGGACGGTAACAGGACTTCCTCATGGGATTACCGGGAGGATATAAGGTGATAGCTCATGTGAAAGGCTCAAGCTGCGCCTGACATGAAATAAGCCCTCCATAAACAGCGGCCACAAACATCATTATCGATGTGGCCAAATTTTACCAGCTCATCCTTCCCAAAGCCATGCCTCCTCCCTCTTGTGTTTCTCATCGATACTCTGGGAGGAGGGGAGAGTGGGATGAGACACAGGATGTCTGACATGGAGCTACCCATATTACAGCGCCATGGGGGCCCTCTCCCCACCGGAAGTCTATCAGGCTCCTATTCAACCATACCTGGCCGGCGCCGCTTGCGCGCCAGGTGCGGCAGCAAGTCGTGCCGGGCCAACACGCGCAGGAGTTGCCCCAGGAGCCGCAGGTTGCTCTCGTCGCACTGCCCGCGGCGCTCCAGCTCCAGCAGCAGGTCCAGGCCGCTACGGGCGCGGGACAGGCCGCCGGCGGCGCCGGGAGCCTCATCCAGCAGGAAGGCCAGCAGCTCCAGTTCACACTCCGTCAACTGCCCGCCCACCACCTCGAACATACGATGAAGCGACAGCATCCCGTAGTAGTCCAGGCACTCATCCTCCTCCCAGCTCGGGGCAGGGGTCGACCCGGACAGCGCCATACCCGGGGGAGGGGGGCGGAACAAGCTCGAACCAGGGCCTAGAACCCACTCAGCGGGGAAGGGGCAGTGGTCAGCGACGCGGGGGCCCGGACGCCGCCCCCGCCAGGGCGTCTCGCCGTCGCGCAGGGCAGGGCCATCCTTACACCCCAGCCGTCTCAGCCTCCCCCTTCGCCGGAATGGAATGGTATCGCCCGAGGTCCCCTAGTAACAAGTCAAGACGCCAGACCCCACTGGACCTCCGACCAGTCAGGCCGCTGAGCCCGAACGCCCCTCCCCAGGTGGTATGTTCCGAACCAGCTTCCGGAACCGACCAAGTGATTAAGACCGAACAAGCCTGGGGGTCCATCCCGGGGTACTCTGACTGCCTTTCGACTCTGGGTAGTATTGACCGGACGTGCCCCACGGCTCTGTCCAGTGGTACTGTCCGATCAGCGCCACGGCTCCACCCGAATAGTAACGTCCGAATGTGACCTTCTGCCCCCTACAAGTGGGACCGACCAAAGCAGCCCTTCTCTCCACACAGGTGGTGCTGTCCAAACCCAACCCCCTCCCCCTATAAGGGTGGTACCGCCCTCTCCCCAGCGCCCAGGTGGTTCAGTCTACCCGCCACCAGTCGCCCTTAGGCCTCTCTGGATCCTCACCGGAATTCGGCGTCTGATGACTCCCGGGCGACGGCCGCAGCCACTTGTTTTGGATCTTTCTGGCACCTTCTCTATTATTACGCCTGCGTCACCTCGCCCCTCCTCCTTCCCCAACTCGCGCAGGTGCGACCGGCACGCCCCTTAGGCGCAAGCGCAGAGTAAGGGTTCCAAGCCCCACCCCTCCGAGCCGCCCCCAACCGTAGGGTCTGGGCCGGCCTGTGGTGCGCCTGCGCAGAGAGAGAGTAGTTCCGCGTCTGGGTTGAAACTGGTACGCCGTGGCAGGGCTGCTTCTACCTGTCCTTGACTTAAACTGCCAGGTCTTGGTTGCCCTAAGTCACGACCTTTTGGAACTATTCTTTTCATGGACTACAGCCCCCTCCTAATCACGGCCTAGACGTTACATTACCACTGCTAGCAATTGCCCATGCGAAGGACCACAATCACTACCTCCCTGGCTCAGAGCAGTACCCAGACCCTTATGATCGGGACTT